AACTTTAAGGTGTCAGGCCTGAATTATCGAGCTCTGCGGCGGGCTGTGTGTGTGCAGGCAGGACCCGTCATCCCTCCTCCTCTCCTTGCCCATGCACACCCAAGCGGGCAGCAGCGACTGGGGGCTGGAGAGAGGTCCCAGCCTTTGGGGTCTCTCTGGGTGCAGGAGGGTGCCGTGCCCCGTGCTGGCCCCGGGGGTTGTGAGGTGTGGGCAGCAGGGTGGCTGTTGGTGCCATCAGCTTGGTCGCCTGGGGTCCCTGAGCATGGTGTGATCTCTGCAGGGTTCAGGGACGGGTGTGTAGGGAGGGATATGCAACCTTGCTGTGTCCCCACCTTGGCATTTGCTCCCTGCATCCTCATAAAACCCCGGGGCTGAAGGCAGCAGATCCCCCACTGCTGCCCTTGGAGGTCCTCATCCCGCTCCTGCTGGTTCTGCTGCCAGGCCCCAGGGAGACAAAACCCTTCCACCGCAGCCAACGTAAATGCTGCCGTAGGTGCAGCCAGAGCTTGCTCCCTGGCCGGGCACGCCTGTCACCGTGCCGCTCCAGGGATGATGAAAGGCTGGTAGCACGGCCTGTCTGCTCTCTGCTGCAATTTGCCCAGCGCGCCCTACGGCCACTCGATGATTTCCTCATCAGAGTAGCCAGCCTCGACCGCCCTCCCCACGCAGACACATCCGTCACCCACTGCTGGCACGGTCACACAGATCACAGGTGCTGGAGCCGCCTGCCCTGCTCGGTCCCTGGCCATCCCTCAGCCCTGCAGACAGCGGCCCCGGCATGGCCAGCCTCCGGGGAGCGGCTCAGGGCATGCAAAGGGACCCTGTTTCCTCTGGAGCAACCCACGCAGACTCTGCTTCCTCACTCCTCTTTCTTCCCCATCCCCTAGACCTGTGTCCCACCCTCCCCACTGCCATCCTCAGCCCTCATCCCGTGCCAGCTGATAGAGGGGATTGTAAGAAACGTGAAACTGTAACAAAAAAGCCTTAATATTTTCTAGTTTTTAGTAGTCTTTAGTACTGTAACTTGTGTTCCTGCATGCATAGTACTCTGATGATGTAACTGTTACACTAATCCCTGTTTTCTCATTAAGGAATGTAGTGGAAGGACATGGGCACCAGCTATCACTTAGTCGTTAGACAAAATAATTAAGTGAAATAAAAGTGGTCTTGGTTCTCAGCAAATAATTGGGATAATTGTGGGATAAAAGAGACTCCTAAATAATTCCACTCCAGACAGCTCGGCCTTGGGAGGGCAAATGCGCCCAGCTACAGAGATAAGGAGGCACCAAGAGAGCAACAAGACCAGAGCCAAACAACCTGAAGGACACGATATACGTGATCCTGGAACTGAGTTTGCACAGAAACAGAGGTCAATCAGTGAACACCATGATGAGGAGGATGGGCCCTCATCTTGGGACCCCCGAAGACCACCCAAAGATGCTAACAGACATGCGTGAAAGATATTTACATATGCTCATTAGTTCTCTAACTACCCTAAGTAGTTCTTAGAAATATAATGAATATTTACATGTGTGATTGTATTTAACCTGAAGTAACAGGGTGTCTGGCGCGCATGTTTAGAGGGAAAATCCCCCGTGTGCCCGGCGCCGCAGTGAAGAATACCTGCCCAACAGAATACATGGTACTGGTAGGTTTTTCCTACCGGATCTTCGAATCACAGGGACCCCGCAAAGCTTCAGCTCCAGTCTGCAGGGCACAGGGCAAGGGCCAGGTAGCACCCACACAACCACAAGCAGGACATACAGCTCCAGACGAAGCAAGCCCAGCCACAGTGCATGCTCCTGCATTGCTCCTGCCATGGTGGACCTCTCCAAGTCCCTGTCCTGGGCCAGCACCATGCGGGGGGTACCTGTCCCATGCAAGTGCAACAGAGCTGAGCATGACAAAGCCAGCCCATAGTAGGGACAAGGGGCTCGGAGATGGACCCAGGGCATGAGGAACCAGTGTTGCCACAGCAATACCCTGTGCCACAACACCTGGAGGTGTGAGAAAGCAGCAGGGTGGCAGGACATGCCCAGTTTTGCCTGAGGGTATGGGTGCGGGGCAGTGGAGATGAGGGGCTAATGGCTTAGCTGTACCCACAAGGACCAGAGCATCCCCAGGGGGCTGTGTCAAGGGACAAACAGCAGCTGCCACAGTTGCATAGCTGGACGGGAGCAGTGGGCAGGGAAGGGGAGCACCGTGACGTGGGAGACCAGGCAAATGTGGTGGTGATGCAAAGCACCACGATTTTTAGCCACTGGTGACTGAGTTTCTTGGAGAGGCTGAGTGGGGGGGAGGGGCCCGCAGTGGGGCTGGATTTGGGACTTAATCCCTGGCAATTTAGAAGATGTCTGTTGAAGAGCTGCTCTGCAGAGTGGAAAAGCCACTCGAGTCGTGCTTGACTTCATCAAGGGAACTACATAGAAATCAGGGAGCTTGCTAAAAGAAATTAATATAGCATCCAGGAGGGCAGAGCACCTGCAGACAGCATGAGAATTGCTCAGACCAGCAGGCTGGAGACTTCCAGTAAATGAACGTGTCCTTTAACAAGATTTGCAGGGCCAACGTAGCTGAGGAGCGGAGCAGAGCAGACGAACGGGTGGGAAAGGTCATTCCTCAAGGAGGGCAGCTGTGTCAAAATGAAGAGCATGGGAAAGCAGATGAAGTTATGTGGAAAACCAGCGCAAAACAACCCCCCAGAAGGCTTTGGGGAAGATCTTGGCAACAGCATAAACCTGCGAATAATTTTGCATTGGCAACTTGGAGGCATTGCTGTAGCAATGAGAACTGGGGGTGTCCAGGGGTGCACCAGAGTGCTGCGAGCTGGGCCTGCCTCCTTCTGGTGGGTCTTGGGGTACGACCTGTGTGCCCTGCATGTCTTTACCTTTTGTGTTAGGACAAGTCAGGCAAGTGTTTCTAGCCCCAGAGCGGACATGCAGGGCCCATATATCAACACAGAGGGATGCTGCTGAATGAGCCGCCTCGGAGTGTCGCAGCCGGCGAGCGGGGGAAGGATCTCCCACGGGCTGCGACTGTGAGAACAAAATCTACGAGTACAAAGTGCAGCTGCACTCACTGTCAAGTGGTAGGAAATTAAGGCAGTTACTCTCGTGAGATATCAGCCTCGCACCAACAGGAATCAAACTGTTACACGGAATGCAATCCTGGATAATTTTATCTTAAGAAGCGAGCCTGCAGAGGAAGATAAAAACATGTTAGCGGAGGCTGAGAACATTTTCCATGGGATGCAAAGCCACTGTTCCCTTTATGGCTTGCAGATTAAAGTTTTCTCATAAAAATCACCCCCCCTCACTCAAATACCACTGCTAAGATTTCCCTTGAGAGAACCCAGTGCTGAGCAATATGTTGTTGTGTATGAACAGTGATCTCGATGGAGACTGCGTTAAAGAAATCACATAGAATCTTCCTGTTGGGTGAGCGGTGCCTACACCGAGGGGAATATTATAGTTTATTCTTACTTTATATAAAGACGCTTCACCATCTCCAGGGCTAAAACCCAGGGCTCCACATTCTGAGGAGGAGTATTATGGCTAAAATTAAATGGTTTTGGAACAAGTATGATTCAGAGGCTCCCAGCTCAGCAGGAGGGGAGGTGAGGACCCGTGGGTCCCGGGCACCATGTCCTCCCCAGAAGCTTTGCCCCAGGGCTCGCCTGCAGTCAGCAAATCTCCTGCCAGCACAGCTACAAATCCCAGACGAGCCCATGAGGGTTGTTGTTCTAATTAACTAATGAAAGCATTTCCTGTAGGGATGATGGATATTCTGAGCTGGAGGCTTCCTCCTTGTTTGAGGGGGGACCTAGAGAAACACCCAGCTCCTCTCGAGGGACCCCATAAGCATTAGTACACCCTGAGGACTGGGGTGCAGCACCCGCTGCGGGGAGGTGCCAAGTGGTCCCAGACACCGAGCATCTCCCTGCACCCTGCCTTCAACTGAAATTCTGTCTCTGATCCCAGCTGTGCTCTGGTTCAGGGCTGCGTTCAGAAATCCACCTGACCCTGTCCTCAGGTTTGAAGGCTGCTGTCATTGCTGAGCCTTCTCTTCTGTCTCATCCCCTCTGCTTCAATCTGGAGTTTTTTCAGGCAAATTACATGAGAAAAATTAATGTCTGATGAGGGTGAAGTCTGTGCAGGAGCTCCCTCAGCCACAGCCATGCGCCGCGCAAGGAGGATCCACTTCAAAGTAGGGAGCCGCTTCATTAAAAAGTGAACTAGGGCTTTTGACATCAAGATAAACATCCAGATACACTTCAAAGCAGATTCCTCTCCTTGTCCTCAGACACCCTCTCCCACTTCACTCAGTTATGGATTTTGGAGTTATACGTCTCCTTATCTGTCTCTTGCTGTATCCCAGCTGGGTGGGTGGTTGGTGGGGGAGATGCTGGATGCTGCTTTGCAGTGTGTGAGGCCTTTCAGGGTGTGACCATGAACCCAAACACTCTGTCGTTGCCTTCTGGCCCACCTACAACCAGTTAAGGATTGCTGTTGAAAGCGACTCCATTTCCATTGAAAAACATTGTGGTTTTAAAAGAAAGTGCAACAGAGAAGTGCCTGAGGGCTGACGGGGTGCCTCCGTGCCCAGAGGTGTCCACCCCTCCAACACCCCGCTGGCAGAGGCTGCAGACCCATCTCTGGCAGCAGGTCGGGCATTCTGCAGCCTGGGACGAAGCACCGAGGTGCAAACGCCGGCCACTTGCACAGGGAGAGGCATGAGGAGGTGCAAGCGGTGCACGGGGTGCCGGCAGGAGTCACGCTGCGCCCAAATTTACCCCGTGGTAAACCTCTCCTTCAGGATTTGGAGTGGGCGAGCAGGATTTTGCAAGGCTTGAGAGACAGGGGACTGTTACTAATGCCAACACCAAGTGCTTTCACCATGGCTGGGGGCTTTAGCAGGGCAGCCAAACAGACTGGGCTGCCGGGTGAGCTGTGGCCAGAGGATCTGTGTGCCCCTCACCAGGTTGCCCCAGGGCTTGGAGCACCGTTTGGGGCAGGAAAGCGAAAAGGAGGGGCTGGTGCAGTGGGGAAGCCGCAGCGCTGAGCGGCAGGAGCAGGCAACCACACACAGCCCAGAGCTGGTCTCGGGGCAGTCATTTGGGTTGCATTACCGGTGCCTCTGCTTTGTGGGACGGGACCAGGCTCCACCGGCAAAAAACATTTTATGATTTCAGTTCCTCCAGGCATCGTACACACACCCTGGGCTTGGGCGGGCCGTGCAGGAAGGAGGGGATCGGGACAGTGGTGCAGCTTTAACTTGTTCCAGAGTGGGATAAATTTGGGGAAAAAAATCCTCCCCCAGACCCTCACTGCCGCAGGGGTCTGCTCCAGCCGCCCGGGGGTCACACGCCAGACCCTTCCCCACCCGCACCCCTCGGTGTCAGCCCCAGCTGCCCCCGCAGGCTGCGAGCTGA